ATTCTGCCATTGTTAAAACTCTCAGTATTTGTGAAAGGGTTTGCATGAAGAAAGTAGCTTTCTGGAATGCATTAGTTTTTGAAAGGGTTCCTTAACAAGGGAAGGAACCTTCAATTTTATTTTCTTCTTCTTCTTTTTTTATATTATTATTATTATTAATATTATTATTATTATTATTATTATTATGTTATTATTATTATTATTATTATATTATTATTATTATTATTATTATTATTGATATAATAATACAGCTGTGAGAGTCTTCACCCTTTGAATCCAGCAATCACATGAACCAAAATACGGGCATTAGGCTTTATGTAAGTGGTCGTTCTGTCGGTTGTGTGGCTTGTAGGCCAGGCACATGTGAATGCTTGTGTGGGTTGACAAGAATATATGCCTCCCTTTGCAATGTTATTTTCTCTTTTTATGTATAATCTCTTTTAGCTTTTTTTACCATTTTCAATGTCTATATTTGTCATTTGATTTACTTTATCTAGATGGTAATAGACCCTTTTCCCTGCACAAACTCCAAATCATCCTTCTAGGTAGTAAATAACTAAAGAATATGTAAAATTTTGTTATTGCGTCATTTAAATTTTTTTCCTAATACTCAATTTTCTGTAAATACAACCTGCGCTGCCAGTCACGGCAGTCAGGAATAGGATGCTGAACATGGAAATGGCGTCCTCCCTGGAGCTGGCACTCTTCCATTTACAGTTAACAGACTTAATGGGAATAATGCCAAGTGAGTCTAATCAGACTCCAAGAAGTTTTTGCACTCATGGCGAATCTTTTCCATCAGCCTTCAGCAGAAACCCTCACGACAGCAAGTTTGCGTCACCCGGCCTGCAGCCAGATTTTCTGCTAACAGCATGTTCATGACACCTGCCCCTTTACCAAAAATTTTTCATGATGTGAGAGAAGTGAGTGAGTGAGATAATGGAGAGAGTGTGAGTGAGTGAGAGAAGAGAGAGGGTTTGAGTGAGTGAGTGAGAGAAGAGAGAGGGTTTGAGTGAGTGAGTTAGAGAAGAGAGAGGGTTTGAGTGAGTGAGTGAGAGAAGAGAGAGGGTTTGAGTGAGTGAGTGAGAGAAGAGAGAGGGTTTGAGTGAGTGATTGAGAAGAGGGAGGGTTTGAGTGAATGAGAGAAGAGAGAGGGTGTAAGTGAGAGAGTGAGAGGAGAGAAAGAAAGAAATAATGAATGAATGAATGATCAGAGAAAGAGAGAGAGAGAGAATGAGAATGAGAGGTCAATCCTTTGGTTAGGATTTCTATTTTTTCAAATGATGTAAAGTATTTGATTATATTTTGCATTTTGTTTAATTGTATTTGTTACCAGTGTTTCCCAAATTGGTAGTATTATAATGGTAATATTTTCCCATAGGTCAGACAAGCTGTGGGAGGCATACATAAATTGGGAGAGTGGTGGTAAGAGATGGAAAATGTTACACAGCTGTATGAGAGACTTCTAGCTACTCCAACAAGTAAATACATGCAGCACTGGCAAAAGTAAGTGTTCTACCCTTAAACTGTTTTTTCTTGGGAGTGAATCTTGTGCCAAGACATAGTGTCAAAGGGATTGTGGGTGTAAGCACGTCTGTGCTCTGCATGTGTTTTAATGAAGGTAAGGTTAGATATCGTAGGCCTTGAAGGGATTACTTAATAAGTTAAAAATATGATTTTTAAAATGTTTTAAGCCTTAGGTGAGAGTATGATGTATGGCACATTGACAGTTTCACATCGTGTGTTTTATTTGATTTTGATATAAGAAAAAAAAGTTAACCTCATTTTTAGGGTGAGCTGGAGATGTATGTATAACTAGAAAACCTTAAAGTCTGCGTTGAGTCAGAGTGAGATGTTGAAGTTTTACTTTTATTTGTGAAATCATTAGACTGCGTAGGTTTCATTTATGCAGTTCATGGGAAAAGATTGAACAAGAATGAAGGAACTGAAAGAGAATGATTAAATCTTATTATTCTTATTCTTGGGTAGAACAGTATGTAGATCTCAATTTATCTTGATATCAAAGTATAATTTGTAAATTATGTAAAGGATTATTACAGCATAAAAGAAAAAGAGAAAAATAATATCCATATATAGAATACATAAAAGAATCCTTCCTTAGGGATTTTTTTTTCTTACACAAGTATTCACTTCACATTTTGAATATATTATAAGAATGCCCTTTTCAGGCTAAATTAAAAGAAATTTGAAAATGAGTTCCCATTGCCTATGATGTGGCTCATGTACCTTTTAATTAGGTTCCAGGAGCATGTGAAAAAGCACCTGCCGAGTGAAGTTGTTGGCGTGGATGAATTCCTCAGTTTACGGCGGTCTGTCCTGACCGAGTTGAACCGCTCAGACATTGAGACTCCAGATGAAGCCCCCCCGGGTGTGGAGGCAGCCCCTGGGGACGAACAAGTGGGGACAAACGTGGTAAGATCGTTCCATATAGATAGTTTTTTGTGCATTTTATATTGTATATATATTTACTCTACTATGAAAAACATGATCTAGCTTACTGTTTTACAAAGTCAAAGTACATTCAGTGTTAATCACAAATATATATTTATCTTTTGAAATAGCAAATTTACTGTCACTAGCATTGTAGGTGCCGTGTTGGATGACTTCAAAGTTATAAAAATGATTACAGGACGAAGAGACTAAAGCTCTGCAGAAGAGTATTATATCTGCACGCCAGAAGATTCACGAGGCAAATGTTGTAGAAGCAAAAGCATTGTGGAGTTATGAGGATGCCATCAAGAGGCCATATTTCCATGTGAAGCCACTAGAGAAGAGCCAGTTGACAGCCTGGAGGAATTACCTTGATTATGAAATTAAGCAAGGAAAAGCATCCAGAGTCAGAGTGTTGTTTGAGAGATGCCTCATAGCATGTGCCTTGTACGAGGAGTTCTGGATGAGGGTAAGTTTTTATATTGAGCATTTGAAAATATGGTAGTGAATTCTCTCTCTCTTTCTTCTTTTCATTCTTCTTTTATATCGTGTGTTTTGCATAGATGCATGTGCAAACATTGTGGAGGCAGGCAGATGAAAATATTTTATTTAGTTTTATTCTTGTCTCTGTTTTTATTTTAAAGAATTTTTTCCATTAAGCAGGTTACATATTACTTTTATTATTATTGATATCCACATTATTTAATCCTTATTATCATTACTACCTCTTTATACAGAAGTTAAATTCTTTAGGAGACGGCCCACGCGCGCAATTTTAAAACTGTCCAGAAAAAATTTTTGGCTTATAAATGTACAGTTGCTAGTGGGTTTAGATTTTCTGGTAATTTGAAATGTGATTTTGCAGTATATAAGATACCTAGAGGAATCAGGAGCACAAGAAAGTGAAGTCCGTGCAATCTACCAAAGGGCCTGTCTCATTCATCTTAGAGACAAGTTCAGACCACACCTTTCCTGGGCAGCATTTGAAGAAGAGAAAGGTAAGGGTGTCATGCACTTTTGTGGAGCAAAGAAATTACCACATGAAAACTATAATATGTATATATGAGTTCAAGAATAGCAACTATAGACCATATTTCTGAATGAGGAGATTCTTTATTTCACATGTTTTTGATAAAATACAAGTAATGAGTAACAGAATACTGTTCGATGTTGATAAGGTGGTAGAGAAAAGAAAACGTAATCCATAGTAAGCCAGTTTCAAAAAACCTATTTTTGAATTTCATGTTTCTGAATAAAGAAAGAATATATTCATATTTGGAAATTAAAGACAAGTTCAGAAGGATCAGTTTGAATATTCTGTGCATTCTTTAAGAACAGTCCAAAATATATTCTCAAGAAAGATTATAAAGATCTAGATTGTTGAACGAGAGCTTACCCTCTTAGAAACTTTCATAAGATATATATATATGTACATGTGATTGATTTTAGAAATTGGATCATCAAATCCAATATGTGTACTCTTTGTTTTGTGTTGGTTGTAAGTACGTCTCAAACATTTCGGTAAATCATTGTATCTCCTTAGGTGATGGAGACCGAGCCCTTGAGATCCTAGATGATATACAGACAAGAGTTCCTGGAAGTTTGGAAGCTTGGATGCAGGCTGCTGGGGTCGAGCGTCGCAGGGGTAACATGGAAGCTACAAAAGAAGTATTTGATCGCTGCCTAGCGATCTGCCAAGAAAGGGAAGATAAGAATGCACACTCGCATGTATCGCTCAAGTATGCGAGGTTCCACACTTTGGTTAGTGTTTTTTCTCTTTATATCTTTTATTTTAACCTGTTGCTGGCAGTTTAAATCTGTTTATAATAAGTAAAATCAGAATGCTTGTTGGCAAGGATGCAGTCAGCCATTTGTCTGGCTTTGGGTGCAGGAATTCAAGGGCTAAAGCCCCTCAGATGTGCAGTGAAAACATTGTTTTAGTCTCAAAAGCTAGAAATATGTGTATGCCACAGCCAAACATGCACAGAGAAAGATAAATATGTGCTCTCCAAACTTTTGATTTTTCACTTGAGTGGCTGACTGCACATGATCATTGGAGCATGGTTCACTTCAGACAGTCACCTGAAATCGCTGTCTTTTATATTTACTTGTCAATTTAGGTAAAAAAAAGAAAAAAAAAAAAAAAAGATATAAGGTAAGTAATTTTACATACTATCACCCTCCAAATCTCAGATTTAAAACTTAACCCTACACTGATGATGTGAGAATTTTCTATGTGGCACTCATTCCGGTGACTACTAGCAACTGTCTAGCCTTTCTGGCAGGCCATTTACTGTGTTCAGCCGGCCCTGTCTGCATCATGCAAGGTGGGCTTTCCATGACAGCTACAGCCATGCCCGTCAGTAAAGTGTTTTAAAAATTTGGCAAAAATTTTAAAACATTTTTTAAAAATGAGAGCCAGTGGTCCTTAAAAAAATCAGAAAAAATATATATACTTAGAAGACATTCAAACAGAATAGATGTTCAGATTTCTTTTCAATTGTATGTAAAGAAAATAAAAAATAAATAAAGATAAAAGGAAATTCTTGAAATAGCTTTATCTTTGAAATAAATCACGGTGTGTGTTATTTAAAATGCTGTAAGCCCCAAGGAAAGCAAAAATAATCATATATGTTATGTCAGGGAATGATAGGAGATGCAGTCAATAGGTGTCCAGTTGGCTCTTCTGTCATACAACTTTTTCAGTTTACACTCCCAGATGTTTTTGACAATTTGAAGTATGAATAGGTTAATGCCAAAGAGAGAACCAATTATGTATAGTGACATGAAACTATGGTACATTCCCCAAATTTGTTTTTAATAGTGTGCAATGTTATTCATGATTTGAAGGCTGTAGGGTAATACAAAACAGCAGACTTATGTTTTTACTATTTTATAGCAAACTTTTTATTTCATATCTTCATTTTTATACATTTTTGTAACAAACATCTGCACAATCAGATGTTTGTGTAATTCATGACCATAATTTGTCGATAAAATAGTTGATTTCTGATGTTTAGAAATACAGTAATAACTACTGTCTCATTCTCCTATTTTTTGTTTTTCTATGTTGTTTATGCAGATAACCCTCTTTGTATTTATTTATGTTGTTTGGTAACTGATTATTTTTTTCTCTTTCAGTTCTGTGGTGACACAGACAAGGGAGTTGAGATCCTCAGAGAAGCTCATGAATATAACAAGGTAAGCTTTAAAGTTGTCCTGTTTGATTGACATTATTTTATATTTTAATTGCTATATTATCGTTAGAAAATAAGAAACTTAAGTATTTATGCTAATGTTTTTTTTTTTTTTTTCTTATGGTGCAGAATAACAGCAATGTGTTGCTAGCATTGGTGGATCAGGCTCTCCTGTGTCAGCCTCCAAAATTTGCTATGGCAGCAGAAATCCTGAAAGAGGGGCTTGATTCCTGTCAGCAACCTGGAACCAGACTGATGTTTGCTCACAGATACTTCCACTTCATGTCTGAATGTGGACAAGAGACAGACAGGTAAAGAACAGTCTCACCTTAGTCTTGGAATGTATTGAAATTGTACAAGTCATATCTAGAATCCTCTATATTAAGAGGCATTTTACTCAAAATGAATCTGGTAACTAGACTGCCAAGTGAAAACCAGTAGTAGTTGTAATTTAGTACACGGTATTCTGACGAAATTCCTTTTTGTTTTTTCAGTGTGACCAATGGCCTGCGTGTTTTAAGGGAAGTTCAGATGGAGGTGAGACAAATGGATGCATGTGCGTCAGAAACAGATACTGCAAGTAATACTAGCAAGCAAGGAGATGCAGCCAGTGGGGGTATCTCTGTGTAAGTACACAATGCTTAATGGCTTTATTCACTCCTATTATAGCACAAGTCATTGTCTAAACTTGCATTTCCATTTTTTTAACACTGGATGTCATAATCTCTAGACAGGTGATATACCTTATAGATAGCCATATTTGGAGCAATCAAATGTGCTTACCAATCTTAGAAGTCATTGTCTATAATTAGCTTTTTAAATATTAAAAAAATATAGACAACCAATAATGATGAAATGATTATGAATTCAGACATTGTCTTGCAATTTTTCCCTTCTGTGTATACCAAACTAGTACTGTAATTCACTTTAAAAAGAATCTTACTTACCTTATTGTGTGATTTGTAGCATTGAGTCCCGGCGAGAGAAGAGAGGGAGCCAAGAGAAGACCAGTCCCAGCCCTGTCAATGGCACAACAGGAACAACACAGCAACAACAGGCAGTTAACACAAATTACCAAGGCTACCAGCAGGCAGGATATGGTGGCTACAACCAGGGCTATGCACAGGGCTATGGAGCTTCACACTACCAGGGATGGGGCTATCCAGCTCAACAGGGTGGTTATGGTTATGGACAGCAGGGTTGGGGGGCATATGGAAGTTACTATGGTCAGAGATAAGAATGAAATCATTCTTTTAATTTTACTCCTTTTAAGTGATTCACAGATATAAGTAATCCTCCATGTGTAAAGCATGATTGTATATTGGAATGCTTTGTTAACAGGATTTCCAAGTTGTCTAGGAGATTGCATCACTTTTTGTTGTATGGTGAGTAATGATAAAGTTCTTGATATTCACTTAAGCCTTTCAAGTTTAGATATTTGTATTGCGTCTCATTATGATGAACTTAGTTCATATGTCTTGAATGTACGATGGAGTATGTATGTCTTTGGCAATTTAGTAATACTGTGAATAAATGTGATTGCAAAAGGTAGTCTGCATGAGACCATACAAACCAGAGAAACTGTTTGAAATCTGGAAAATTATAAATCCCATCTTTAGCATATTTGATTAAGCTATTAAGTACAGTTGCATAGCACTATATTTAGGAAATATTCAGTGCAGAACTTGTGTAGAAACTTTGTGAACCAAGTGATGGGAAGTAAGGCTTTCAATATGTAGTGTTTGTTTCAGTGATGGGTAAAATATATAACAAAGAGGCCTGGGTCTCCCATTTTTAAATTTTAAGAAAAGTTGCTTGTACACACACAAAAAAAAAAAAAAATCTGGCACGA